AAAAAATAAAAAATAAAAAAAAGATATATTTCAATTTTAATTATTTATATTTTTTTGAATTGTATAAAGACATAATTTTATAATTTATTAAATTACAGGAATACGTGTTGAAAATTAACTATTGATCCTGAAATATAATGGCTGATAAAACGAAGAAGAAAGATCTACATAATATATTAAAAGGTAAGCAACCAGGAATTAATTAATGTATTAAAATTTCATACGAACACAGCTATATTTAATGTTGTTCTATGCAAAATAGATGGATTTTCTTGGAAAACAATTGGAGAATACCGCATACCATATATAATGCGTATAGTTTATGGTAAACATTTCAAATATGTAGCTACTCGGATGGCAGAATATGAAGTACTTGAAAAATACATAATTAATATACATTCTTATGTTTATACTTCGTGCACACCAGTGATAGCTTATGCCATCACTGAATCGGAGGCTAAATTATTAAATGATATAAACAAAGAACATTATGGAAATGGGAAAGAATTCCATTTATTGGCAGGAAAAGATTACATCGTCGGTTTAGAAGATCTTCATAACTTTTATTTGATAGACTTATGTTATAAAAAATTAGAGCGCAACAATAATTCAGGTTTCGAAGACATATGCTTTTTCATACGTATTGACTCTAATGCTCACTCCTGTGTACCATATTATACTCAAAATGGCCAAAAATATTTGGCTTTATTTTACTTTGAGGGAGATACAGAAAATCTTATGCAACGAGCTGTGCAATTAGAAAATTGGGATTTGGCCTATCTCAAGTTTTGTTGGAAAATTCAAGGTATTAAGGATAAGTTTTTTGCTATTGACTCCTGCTCAGTGGTCGGCTTCGATGATATCAAAAATTTGTATCCACCATAAACACTCTTTGAGGATATTTGGCCAGCTGAAATGGCTAAATCACATCTCTCAGCTTATCGGAAGTCTTTCCAGACCGAGACACCAGGTTCCTGGTTCAAATTAGTCCCTGATAAATATACTATTTAAAAAAAAGTAATTCTTTATTATGAAGTTATCCGTTCTGAGCAATAGAACATTAAAACAATTAAAGTGTCTGAGTTATTTGTGTCTTTGTAACAGATATTTTGTTAATTTCTGTTTAATATTTTCACGAATAATTTTTGATTTTTAATAATAATATTTAGCCAAAATTATAAAAAATAAAAAATAAAAAAAAGATATATTTCAATTTTAATTATTTATATTTTTTTGAATTGTATTAAGACATAATTTTATAATTTATTAAATTACAGGAACACGTGTTGAAAATTAACTATTGATCCTGAAATATAATGGCTGATAAAACGAAGAAGAAAGATCTACATAATATATTAAAAGGTAAGCAACCAGGAATTAATTAATGTATTAAAATTTCATACGAACACAGCTATATTTAATGTTGTTCTATGCAAAATAGATGGATTTTTTGGAAAACAATTGGAGAATACCACATACTATATATAATGCGTATAGTTTATGGTAAACATTTCAAATATGTAGCTACTCGGATGGCAGAATATGAAGTACTTGAAAAATACATAATTAATATACATTCTTATGTTTATACTTCGTGCACACCAGTGATAGCTTATGCCATCACTGAATCGGAGGCAAAATTATTAAATGATATAAACAAAGAACATTATGGAAATGGGAAAGAATTCCATTTATTGGCAGGAAAAGATTACATCGTCGGTTTAGAACATCTTCATAACTTTTATTTGATAGACTTATGTTATAAAAAATTAGAGCGCAACAATAATTCAGGTTTCGAAGACATATGCTTTTTCATACGTATTGACTCTAATGCTCACTCCTGTGTACCATATTATACTCAAAATGGCCAAAAATATTTGGCTTTATTTTACTTTGAGGGAGATACAGAAAATCTTATGCAACGAGCTGTGCAATTAGAAAATTGGGATTTGGACTATCTCAAGTTTTGTTGGAAAATTCAAGGTGTTAAGGCTAAGTTTTTTGCTATTGACTCCTACTCAGTGGTCGGCTTCGATGATATCAAAAATTTGTATCCACCATAAACACTCTTTGAGGATATTTGGCCAGCTGAAATGGCTAAATCACATATCTCAGCTTATCGGAAGTCTTTCCAGACCGAGACACCAGGTTCCTGGTTCAAATTAGTCCCTGATAAATATACTATTTAAAAAAAAGTAATTCTTTATTATGAAGTTATCCGCTCTGAGCAATAGAACATTAAAACATTTAAAGTGTCTGAGTTATTTGTGTCTTTGTAACAGATATTTTGTTAATTTCTGGTTAATATTTTCACGAATAATTTTTGATTTTTAATAATAATATTTAGCCAAAATTATAAAAAATAAAAAATAAAAAAAAGATATATTTCAATTTTAATTATTTATATTTTTTTGAATTGTATAAAGACATAATTTTATAATTTATTAAATTACAGGAATACGTGTTGAAAATTAACTATTGATCCTGAAATATAATGGCTGATAAAACGAAGAAGAAAGATCTACATAATATATTAAAAGGTAAGCAACCAGGAATTAATTAATGTATTAAAATTTCATACGAACACAGCTATATTTAATGTTGTTCTATGCAAAATAGATGGATTTTCTTGGAAAACAATTGGAGAATACCGCATACCATATATAATGCGTATAGTTTATGGTAAACATTTCAAATATGTAGCTACTCGGATGGCAGAATATGAAGTATTAATAATTATTAATATAATATAATTATTAATAATAGTAATTATTAAATTTGCAAAATACATTATTTATAAATGCGCTTTTGCCTGAAAATAATGGACATTAGCTTTATTTCCTAGTCAATATCGTATAGTGTTTAATTTGATCAGAGATATCGTTATTTACTAGTCATTTACGTTAATTCCTTAATTTGCTGGCAACATAAACAATGTATATATTATGTCGGTCGCGCACGCACACAAACACACAGAAAGAGTTGGCTTGGAGTGGTGTTGAGGTTGGGAAAGGTACTAGTAAAAAAGTTTGGAGAATCAAACTGCAAAACACACCTCATGTGCAATAAATTAATAATAAAAATATAATATATTATATAAAGAAAAAACGTTAAGACCTCAAGAGACCCCCGTGCGCGAACAAAGAGACCGAGAGGGGAAAAGATCTAACTTAATGTGTGCTCACGTCGTGGCAGTGATCGAAAATCCGGATGAAGGGAGACCGGTGCAATAATTACATGTGGTATAGTGCCCTGAGGTGGTTACGCTTCACGGCAGACTGAATTATTGTAAAAATCTCGTCGGAACGCGCCTATATAATATATATTTATAAATATTGACGTTATTTTGTTAAAAGAGTGTTTACCACTGAAAATGTAAAAAAAATGCAGTAAAATATGCACTTAAAATACAAAAAATTATAGCATAAAATTCACTTAAAATGGTTTTTAATTTAATTTTTATATTTATATTGATATTATAAGTTATTATACATTAGAACATTATATTTTACATGCATAAAAATGTGTTTATTAAATAAAAAAACAAAAATAATAAAAATATTTATTGAATTTGAATTTTGTTTAATTGAATATTCACCTGAAACATTTTTAAATATTTTTTTTATGTATTTATTTTATTAAAATAATAAAACAAACTTAAATATATTTATTTGTGGATACCTTATTTATTTTTAGTCTTAACTAATGCATTGGACAAAAAAAAAAAAATCAAAAAAATGTCTTTCAAACATGTCAATCGCCGAATAATGAACTAAAAAAAAAAATATGACCTAAAAATGCAAAATAAAAGTTTCATAAGTGGATTCGTAGTAACATAATTATATACTTACAAAGCTACGTTTCACAATCACCAAAAAAAAATGAATTTTTCTACAAATTCACAGCCATAGTAATTACCATTCATCTTAGTGAACTGTTAAATTGTTTCAATGTTTGTAATATTCAATAATACTATATTGTTATATTGTGCCCCGTTTACGATAATTCTGGTTTATTTAACTAAACCATCTCAGTCAAATTTTTTAAACAACTGAATTTTGAATGAATATAAAATGACGTATAGTACCAATATTCCACCTATTTTCTTTATTTTGCTAAAACAATTTATACCAGCGATTTTCAAACCGTAATCAGCTAGACTAATCTATAGGCTCCATGGTCATATCTTAATTAAATCAATAATCAAGTTTTATTATGTAGTCGAAAATGATATTAGCTTTTATCGCTTATGTCGTTTATGATAATATATAAACACACAAATTATAAACAAATCATTCAAGCAATTTTCATGAGTTATGCATATTTCATAAGCGTTCTTAATTTTTCAGGTTAACAACTTGAGGGCTCCACGAACTTAGAAGTTTGAGAACCACGCTGCTATAGACCGTTCCGATTTTTAATTTACATTAGAACGAAGACGTACATGCTTATACGCAGTCGTAAATTTAGGTCCCTATTGGCAGCTGTCGCCTTTTATTTTTTTCCATGAGGGCCACACCGTTTTTACACCTGGCTTACCACAAACACATGCAGCTGTTCCCTGTGTTTTACAACAATGTATTTGATAGACTTGGGTATATGTACCTAAGGCAGCGGTTCCCAAACTTTTTTAGCTCACGGCGCCCTTTTTGAACTAAACTTTTCTCAAGGCGCCCTTCCCAAGACATAGCATGAATTTATTTTTAGACCAGGTAAATTTCTACGGCGACGCGGCGCCCCTGAAAAGACATCGGGGCGCACCAGGGCGCCGCGGCGCACAGTTTGGGAACCGCTGACCTAAGGTATAGAGACCTGGGTTCTCGGTCGTATACGTGTCGTAAATTATGTCGAAGACCATGTTCTCGTAATGCTATGAAATCCAAGATAATTCCCCCAAAAAAAGAGGGTGTAATGTATATAACCATACAAAAAAAGATACCTACTTCAACGAAACTAACTATTGTAATACTTTTAGTGATTGAATTATATTGCTTAATATATTATATATATTTAGATATTCTTATTAGTTTCTTGTTTCTCTTTCTTTTACTCAAGAACCACGGGTTGTGGCTCATCGACTTCGCTTTCTTCACATCGATTTTTTTGTTCTTTTCCTTGTCCTCGAGAGCCATAGGTTGTGGCTCATCGACTTCTCTTTCCTCCTCTTCAGTTTCTTCGGACTCGGTATTTTCTTCAAGGACCATAAATGAACACACATGTTTTTATTGTGGCTCATCGACTTCTCTTTCCTACTCTTCAGTTTCTTCGGACAAAAACATGTGTGTTAATTTATGGTCCTTGAAGAAAATACTGAGTCCGAAGAAACTGAAGAGGAGGAAAGAGAAATCAATGAGCCACAACCTATGGCTCTCGAGGACAAAGAAAAGAACAAAAAAATCGATGTCAAGAAAACTGAACAACCACAACCCGTGGTTCTTGAGTAAAAGAAAGAGAAACAAGAAACTAATAAGAATATCTAAATATATATAATATATTAAGCAATATAATTCAATCACTAATAGTATTACAATAGTTAGTGGGAATAATATGATACATTAATTAGTTTGCGTGAGCCTACCATTACACTCTGGGGAAGTAAAATTTTTTTCATAAGTATTGGAGCCAGTGAAAGTATAATTAAATTAGAGATGGAGAGAGAAAAATCAATACAATAAAAATAAACGTGCATGCCGTCGAGCTGCCGCCGTGCATGACTCGCAAAATAAATAAATAAACAAACTTGTCGTTTCATTTTTCCTGTCGTTTTATTTTAGTTAGGTACGATTTTTCTCCACCCACACCTCAAGAAAGAAATTTAACTTCAAAAACCTAAAAAAAATCATACAATATGACGTAGTGGGATGCCCTAAACATTTATGCACCGTGTATGCTCTATTAATATGCAAAATGCTTAAATAGGTATGCTCTTTACCATATTAATTTATTTCGTCAAATAACTATGAAATTGAAATAAGCTTGTTGGTATCTATTTTTCTTTCTTAATCTTTTTTGTTTGAATGTTTATCGTAGAACTTTTTTCATAAGTATTGGGGCCCGTGAAAGTATAAGTGAATTAGGAAGAGAGTGAGCAGTGTTTTTATTTAGAAAATAGCTGAGCTTACACACATATTGTTGTAGGTTTATATAAATTTATTATTAATCATAATTTATTGATTTATTTTGGTTATTATAATTTGTGACAATTATGATAGGTAAATAAATGTAATAATCCTATAACTACATAGTTTATTAATTTTCAACAAATTGGATATTTCTTTTCCTCGTAGCTATGGATTTTTGAATAGTTAAATTTATTTGTTCAGTTTTAATTGTATGTATCATAATATGCATTATTAAAACTTGTAAAACCAGAAAATTTAATACCTGCTTAGTTAAATATTATTTTGATTTTTCTAATGAAAATATTAAAAGGTAATAATAATTTAAAGTATCATATTTTTTCTTTTTATAAGTTAGTTAAATTTTTTTAATGGATTTTTTTTTTAAAATTGTTATTCATGTAGGTACCTATTATGTATTACAATTTAATCTAACCTAAAATTACTTTTTTGTTTTCATATTGTTTATTATAATTATTCACTTAGAAACATAAAAATAAAAAAGTGTAGGTATACAAACAAAATGGTTGATAGGTACTTACTCGTTCTCGGATTAGTGTTGACATCTCGAATACAAGTCGAAGTGGTTAGGGCTTGAACTTATATTTTGATCATCCATTGACGTTTATTATAATATAAGTTATAAATTACCTACAATAAATATTAATTTCACCGTCACACAAAATACCAGAGCAACTTTGAAATAAAAATCGAACCTCTCTCTACTTTCGTTTAAAATAAAAATGTCGGTTCAGTGTTTTTGACGGGTTTGCAGTTTGCACTGATAAATCACGTAGTTAGGCTCTCTTTGATTAGATAATTTTTTATCAATCACAATTACTAAATAACTGTGTACCGACTTGAACATATTATTCATTTATTTAGGTTTATTAAGTTTCATATTATATTTTATTTTCATTTACTTACCATTCGAAATTTAACATGAATAGACACCTATACAAACCTGTACTACCTAAAGATTACCTATTTAAAAATACTAAAGTAAATAGTAGGTACTATAAATTGTAACCTATAAGAGTGGCGTACACAGATATTTCCAATGGAAGGTGTTAAATTAAGAAATCATATCTATACTGTGAGCTCCCATAATTTTACGACCTGTAAAAGACCTGTCGAGTGTTCCTCTCGACCTGTCAAGAGGAACACTTAACCTGTGACCTACAAGCTTCACCGTGTGTAAGCCGTGAGGCTAGGTCGGTCGAACTTGTAGGTTTTAATGATAAATGTGTAGCTAAAATGAAATAACCAGTAATAGTATGGGTAACACTTTAAATAATAATATTAAATAATTTGAAGAGAAAGTTTTAAAGTAATCATGGTATTATATTTTACATCCAACAAAAAGTGATAATTTCTAGTGAAATACAATAAAAAGAATGACAGTTTTATAATGATCATTTTATGCACATAGCTGGTGCACAAGTAATTTTTTTTCCTCTATAACAATACAGTAACGATACTAAAATAGGTAAAACTGCTGTAAGCTTAGCTTGTGTTAGAGTAGGAGCTTAACATAATTTTGTTGACATTTTGTATACAATATAATAATACCAAATAAATAAATACAATAAATATATTTTAAATTAAAGGTAATAAAACATAGTGCGGTACAAAATAGATATAAAAATTAAAATTTTTTTAAAATAGAAGCAAAATTAAATAATACAATTAAAACATAAATTAAAAACAAATCAAATTACATAAGGACTAGTATTGTGAAATGCATAATTCAGAGTAAAGCCAGCTATATGCTATTTTTCTCCAAGTACATATTTGAATATATTTTTATTAACGGTCATCGGCAATTAATTAAAATAATATATTGGACCAAGGTTATCAACGAAATAATAATAATGGTCAATTACAATTTATAATAATAATTTGTTTCAAGTAGTGAATAATACAATAGACATTTTTTGAGTGTATCTTTGGGGAAATAATTATGGGTTAGCAAGTGACAAGTGCAGAAAAAATTATACAGTTTATGAAACTTAGCAGGTTTAAGAGGAATAATAATAAGGGCATGTATTTTAATTTAAAGAATAATATAAGATCATTGCAAATAATGTAGCAAGCTTCGACACGAATAATAATAATTTTGTGAGCTTGTGCTCTGTATACAATAAAACATCTCGGTGTCAGCGCCAGAGCAAGGCGATCTGTGACCCGTACGCCGTCTAAACGTAAATCTTTTAATAATAATAATGTTTTAATTGTGATATTTTTTTATTGATTTTCTAAGGGTATTTTTCTTTTATTTATGTGATTTGCGACTTTCAACAATAAAAGAAGATGATCAATTATATAAATAAATAATAAGAAGAAGGAAATGGAAAGAAAGGTACCCCCATCATGCGACGTTTCTAATACATGTTTGTAAATTGGTGGGGGGGGGGGGGTGGTATTTTGGGAAAAATTATACGTTACGACAAGTGACAACTGATGGTTTGAGACGAGGGTGTGCTGTTGTTGGTGTCTTCCCATGTCGTCGACTTAGCAAATCATTATTATGGAATTGTCGATTATCGAACTGGAATTATAGTGTGTGTTCTGGGATCCAGAGAAAGCATCTCTCATAGATTATTGAAAGCTCCACTGGTCGGTTTGGACAATTCCAAAATTACATAATATGTTGAATTTTTTACATGTCGTTATGTTCTGTGGGCGGCGATTTGACGTCTGGATTTTTCAGACTACGTCGCTTGACGTCAGTGCTACTGCTAGACTTTTCTTGTTTTTTTGGATATTTATGCTACGCGGATCGGTGCTTAGTCAGCAAAAATCAAAAACAAGGAACAAGAACCATCCCCCGTAGCAGAAATATCCAAAGAAGCCCAAAGCACCGTTGAGTATCATAGACCAGTGTAACCTGCAGCCAGGTGGTCGTGGTTGACGTAGTTTCTTCATTGAGTTTTTGATGTGCATCATCATTCTAGTAAAAGGTACTGGTATTCTAGTACGGCATGAGATGACATATTGGTCTCAGATTGGCACGGATGACGTATTCAACTAGAAAGAGTAAAATTTGTTCTTAAATATAGAATTATGGCCCTTCGACAGTTTATTTAATAATGTAGTATAAATAAGTATAATAAGTATATACTTTATTTAAGGGGGTGGAGGCGGAATGTCTTATTAAAATAAATAAAATAAAATATTATGCTTAGATTTCCGTAACCATATTATAATGACTAGTTGTAAAGTAATCATTAAGACTTTTAAATATTCAGACGGACCTACAACTATTTTGTAATATATAAATATGGGATTTTCATATACACACAATATATTATATATTATTATGATATTATATATATTTAAAATGTGTTTTTATTTCTATAATCAATTGTAGATCAATATATAGTTAAGTACTTAAATTAAGTAGGCAGTTAACTACTAAACACTATAATTGTAAGTTTTACTCGAGGATAAGATCAGAAAACGTTCAATTTATCTTCTTATTAATTTGAATATACCATATTTTTTTCCACACGTTTATTTTCAAATAATGTAGTCATTTAAACAACAACGTTGTAACCTTAAAGGTACGAGATTAAAATAAACAAGTGTCTTTAATATTATAGTCTGAACTGTTAAGGTTATATTTAATCTGCTTACTTCCTGAACGCAATATAAGTGGTACCTATCTATAAAACGCATAATATTATAAACAATATTTGGGTACTTAAATAGCCTATTGGTAATCAAATCTTATAAATCTGCTTTAATAAAGGTTATTATTTTGTCTTTGTTTTAGCCGAGCTGTTTACATAAGTGTGGACTTACGTAAAAAATAAGCAAAAATGTAAAAAACTATGCTCACCATTCCAACGCCACCCATTGAGTACAGAGCACTTCCGGCAAACAGCGATGATCCAGTAATCGGCCACACCATCAATTTGGAATGTTCTTCTGGGCTGAGAGTCGCGTCCTCCATCGTCAGTGAAAACTAAATAGAAGAATTCAACGATACCTGCCGAAATGAGCAATGATAGAAAATGGACCAGGTATTTAATCAACTGAATCAGTAGAGCTGCGAACAACCGGTCCAGCGGATAGACAAACAGTGCAATTTGTAGCCCCAAGTGTGCAATTCTGCACTAACAGTTTGAAGATCGACAAGCTGTAACGGAAAAGGTGAAGAGCGCATAATGTGCGATTATTAATATATGTATTTTAGAACCATACAAGTTAACCAAAGATGTTATGATTAACTGCCCGGCATGTATATTATTATCCGGGACTTGTCTGCGACGATCCCAACAAGACACATTTAAATACCCGTACATTTCACGTATTAAGGTGATGCACATCAAAAACGTAATGAAGAAACCACGTCGACTCGCCGGATAACACGTCTCCACGTTACAACCGTCTGTGATGATCATTGTAATACTCAACGGTGCTTTGGTATTCTTTGGTTATGTACGCTACGGAGAACGGTGCTTGGGCAGCGTTTTTGTACAGACATTCGGAGGCTGTAAAAATCGCAGTAACTTTTCGATTTCTAACGACTTACGAACTCCAGCTGACTGTCACCGTGGACCTAGTATGGAAATGGTTCAAAAGAATTACCAAGAAAAAAGTTTTCCTGAGAACTGGATCAAAAAAACAAGAAGAGTCTAGCAGCAGCGCTTACGTCAAGGGTTGTAGGTCATTAAGAAACTTAAAAAATTATATTTATGTAGTTTTGGCATTGTTTGCACTGACCGGTGGAGCCTTCAAAAATCTAAGAGATATGTTTGCTCTGTCACCGGATCACACACTATAATTAAAGTTTATACTTTTAAAATATGAAGAGAAATAAACCCACTAATTAAAGTCAGTTCAGTTCCGAGCTCGATGCCCTGGGTTCGCCATACCGTCGCACTCTTTGTGCTCCCTTGAGGGAGAGAATAGGGATCATCTTTTTTGCATCTTCAAAGGACATAATAATAAGTAGCATAACCCAACCTCACAATACGATTTTCAAGGGGACATTTAGATCTCCGGACGGTAAAACAATTAACCAAATAGATCATATACCTATTTAGAGAAGGATTAGGTCGTGTATTGTGGATGTTATGAGTTAAAGGTTGGGGGGGGGAGATTGCGATACTAACCACTTTTTGTTGATTTGGTCAGTCAATTTGGTAAGTAGAAGGAAACATTAATCAGAAGAACATGCGCAGAAATGTGGATAATAACGATCATTGGGATTAACAAATAGTGATCAGTTCCACCCACACTAAGACAGGTGGACCATGTTCATGAAGGTGTGCCTCGGCGATCTAATTCAAAATATTTATCATGATGATAGGCTCGAAAGATCCATATCAGTACATACTGTGTATGTACGGACTTTCGGAGAATGTAAAAATGCAGTAACATTTCAAATATTAATGACTGATGTACTGACCGTCACCATGGACCTATTGTGGTAATGGCTCAAAACAAGGACTGATACAAAAGTTCAACTTCCACCAGACCATTTCAATGATTTGATTAATCTATATTTGCTGTGCGAAAACCAAATCAACCTTCACCACTCATAAATGTAATTTCTATCAAACCTGACCACAGGAAGTTGCAGTATAACATTAGAATGCGCAAAGAATAGATAAAGAATTAAATATGAAATCGTGTTATGCGAGTGTGCGCACATGATACTTGACAAGTCGAAGTAGGTACATCGTTTCGTGTCTGTTATCGCACATCTTATTTACGGACTAACAAATTATCGATAAATGTTTAAATTCGATCTTGACAAGTTGATGTTTAAATTATTAACGGACGTTTTATGGTTTTACTTGTGATTGCGGTAATTGTGACGACATTGGTACCGGATGTAGGTCCAATGATATCACTTGTTGGGTCGGTAGGTTTTTCGGTACTAGGTCTACAAAAAAACGCAGCCTTAGAAACTGCGTGGTATTGGGACTTTGAAAGTGAGGAAGACCACGAAGAAACCAAAGAAAATATGAATTTTGAATAAACAAATATAAATATAATTAAATAGCAGCAAATTCCCTGATCAACTCTTTGGTGGACGATTATTTCCAACACAAGCATTTCAAAAACAAAACATAGAGAACTGTGACGGCTAAAATATTGATGAGTAAACACAAACAAGATATTTTTTATTGAGCTAATTGGTTGTAATTCACGAACCAGCAATACTACATCTTGGGCTACTCATTTTATGTAACTTTACAAAAAAATTATAGTATCATACAATTTTATAAGTTACTAATATAATCTCATTTTTGCAACAATCAGTTTAGAATGTTGACATTCTTTAGCCATGAAATTTAAATTTAAATTACCAATTGCGTGGCGGGGGGTAAAAATAACCCAGTAACAAAACACCTAAGTAATAAATGAAACGACGGTACATAGAAGAAATCGGGGATTCCTCTTAAATGATAGGAATCTGGTTAAGTCATGATATAAGTGACTGCGCCTCCTCAAACACTGGATGTATGCAATAGGCGAATAATTTTATTCTAAGAGACCATTATGTGTCAGAGTTTTCAAATAACCATTAAAGTATCTCAGTGTGAATAACTACAGGAAGTTGCAGTATAACATTACAATGCGCAAAGAATAGATATAGAATTAAATATGAAATCGTGTTATGCAAGTGTGCGCACATGATACTTGAAAAGTCGTAGTAGGTATATCGTTTCATGTCTTTTCTCGCACATCTTATTTACGGACTAACAAGTTATCGATAAATGTTTAAATTAGATCTTGACAAGTTGATGTTTAAATTATTAACGGACGTTTTATGGTTTTACTTGTGATTGCAGTAATTGTGACGACAGTGGTACCGGATGTCGGTCCAATGATATCACTTGTTGGGTCGGTAGGTTTTTCGGTGCTTGGTCTACAAGAAAACGCAGTCTTAGAAACTGCGTGGTATTGGGACCTCGAAAGTGAATAAGACCACTAAAAACAATTATTTTTTTTAGTTGTCATTGATTCTTGACAGTCATTTCTTTTTCTTACCTAACCTAACCACCAAAGATATAAGATTATAATATTATAAATTAAAGGAGGAGAAGTTCGAAATGGAAATAGCTACGATACACATACGTATGAAATCATTTTTATGTATTGATTTCTATAATATAATATAGTCACATTTTGTATAATGACCAGCAATATTTTGGCGGACATATATTGTGATAAAGTTTTGAAATAATGGTTCACTATTTCCAATGCGCAACGGCACGAGTACCTATAATATATTGTAGAAGTCTGTCGAAAATGTCGCGAAACTCTGTCATTTTCACATGTGCCTAAATAACGATCGATTTTTACTCCCAACAGTGAACAAGAATTTTACCAGCTTTCACCGTTCGAGCGCGGGCTAACCTTTAACGGCTTCGCTTGTGACCTCGTACCGGAAAAGATAGTCGGCCATCAGCTTGAAGGCTATCAACGGGACCTTTTGTACAGAGTAAAGTGGAGAACTATGGAAGAAGCCAAATTAATAGAGGTTAGCGTTATGAAGGCCTATAGACGGGACTTGATAGTTGACTACTTTGTGACGATTGTTAAAAAGGCTTTATAACGACCGGGGCTGGCGAAATGTACGTGACATTTGATCCTTATTCTTTAAATTTGGCAAAATCTAAAATTTTTAATACCGTTCAAGACATTGAAATGTCCCAAATTTTAAACAAACAACAATCATGTGCTCCTTGTTTTGGCGTTTCCCGATTTCGACTTTCTTTTTGGACATGCAGTTTGTCAGTGTTCATAACTACTACATACCCTTGCATCCTAGGGGATCTACAAACACGGTGGTCCATGATCTTACATCAAACGACCATGCGATCATACAATTTGCCGCAGAATATAAGGTGACAGTATAAAAAGGTAAGAGTATCACAGAGATACGACTGCAGAAACGTGATTTGACATAACTTCTGTAAGACCTTAGAGGCCAATCGAACGGCGATAACAGCTGATCTCGAGTGTCCAGACGCTGCGACCTGTAAGACAGGACTCTCAGAAGAGCTGCAAACAGCCTGTGAAACCCACATGCGACGTGAAACGATCGGTAAGCACAGACCCCCGCCGTGGTGGAACCAGGCGATTGAAAAGGAGTTGAAGAGACTCGAGCAGTTAAAGGCGCGACTGAGAAACAATTCGAAGGCCCTTAGTTGACGGCCGTTAAGATAAGTCTTTATTAGAGAAAAATCAACCAAAAAAAAAAGAATTCGCATTAAAGCAAAGAGAGACGCCTGGAGAGAATACGTATCGAATGTAGGGAATGAGCAACACTGAGGCTCTGTTTAGAAATGGCTTGAAACAGGAGACCAGAAACCATCTGAGAGTCTCCCAACGGCCATCCGTAAAGTGGACGTTACCTACACCAACTCACTTGAGTATACAGTAAAAAGACTATTGGAAGTCTTGGTCGCGGGCGACAGTGTATTAAACGAGAGCCCGGAACAGTCTGTCACAGGGATGTATGTGGGTGAATTTAGACCAGCATTACCCGCAACTATGATACTCGGATCCGACCCACCTGGTTTGAGCGACAAGGAGGAAGTAAAGCAGGCCATTTGGAGAATGAAACCAAAGAAGGTTGACTAAGACAATATTTTTGATATAGAAAATACAGAAAATATGCCATGGACATTAAATGAAGATATAACATGCCCACACGGTAACTTATGTACAGCTGAAGAGACAATGATATTCGTTCCTCAAGAAGTGAAAACTATATTTCAACTTAACTTTCCTAAAGTAGAACTTTTTGCTAAAAATAAAATATTAATAATTTAATATTATATTATACAAGGACAATATATCCAAATACAAAACATCTAAACAAGTAAATGAAGCGAATCAGCAAGACTACACTTTTGGCAAATAATATGATGTATATTTACGCCAAAGTTATAAGATCATAACATTATATAAGTTATAAATATAATTGTAGATTCTGCAGCACTTATCTGGAACTATGAGGGAGTGCATTTTAAAAATGAACGATCCTGAAATTCTTAACTACTTTTGCACACGGTTTTAACACTTTATGTAGTCGACCGTCACGGTAGAATCCCATAAAACCTTTATCGAGAGACTGTTTCAAACATTTGAACCAGAAGAAGAATTATATGTTCGTGGTGTGGTCGGTATTTTGACGAATTAGGCCAATGGTATAATCACGATGAGTTACACAAGCAACTCGAAGATCACGAACTGACCGAATTTGTAATTCGAATTGACCAAAATAATTTTGCGTTTAATTTAAGTTTTTAATCTTTTTCTTTTTATTAGCTGTGGTTTTTAATATGATTGTTCTTATTTGATTTTATGAGGACAACAACAACAACAAAATATGTGAAATCACAAATGACAATAGGCTAGGTGGAACATCGATCAAAACACTGAACATATATGTGGATAAAAATTAGCTAAGGTCTTTCCAGTCAATGGAGAGGCACTCAAATCTCAAAAGCTACATACCTAAGGAACTGGCTAAATTAAAGGAGGAGAAGTTCGAAATGGAAATAGCTACGATACACATACGTATGAAATCATTTTTATGTATTGATTTCTATAATATAATATAGTCACATTTTGTATAATGACCAGCAATATTTTGGCGGACATATATTGTGATAAAGTTTTGAAATAATGGTTCACTATTTCCAATGCGCAACGGCACGAGTACCTATAATATATTGTAGAAGTCTGTCGAAAATGTCGCGAAACTCTGTCATTTTCACATGTGCCTAAATAACGATCGATTTTTACTCCCAACAGTGA